AATTACACACATAAATTTAAGTCTGATTAATATGAGTTAAGGGAAACTCTGGTTTGCACGGCGGGGGATGTTGTGCTGGTAACTCAGAGGTGGTGTTTCTCCGGCAGTTCAAATCCATTAGTGGCTCCAAGAGGCAAGCTGGGCAGTCTCCTGCTGGGCATTCAGAGCCTTTGGAAACCTGCTAGAGGGTCACTAGGAGTCCAGTGTGACTCCATAGCAGTGAGTGAGCGGGAGAAGAAGGCTTAGTTACCCACATCTCCTAGTTAGTTACTGGAGGGCTTGCTCAGTGTATTTTCTTCTTGTAAATTTTCCTAACTTTAAGTAACCAGTCTGTTGGAGTTTCTAATTTGAAGGAACTTTAATGTATTAGAATATACTTTTAGTTTTTTTTGTGTGTTTTTTTTTTTTTTTTTTTTTTTTTTTTTTTTTTCTGTGAAGGTTAAGAAAAATCTTCTGTAGCCTGATCTAATGTTTTTGCTATTACGACCACTTGAAATTTGGGAATTAACATTGATAACCTCTGAATGATAAAACATTTATCACATGACAGTCTTAGAAACTAGATTGTTGATTACTAATTAGACTATTTCATTAAGGACTGATTTTGTTGACACTATAGTATTTTTTTTTTTTTAATTCTTAGACATAGACACAAAATCATATTGGGCAGCTGATTAATTGTGTTCTACTCACATCTCTTTTTGTGGGAAAAATTCCTACCTCACCTATATCTTCACTGGCAGTGTCCCTTTTATAATAAGAGTAGCCAGTTCTAGGTAGTGTGAGAGTTGTAAGTAATCATGGAACTGGAAAATACCATCTCCCTTTCCAGGCTCCCAAGCAAATAGACTCACTATCCCAGTTCATACCAGCTTTCAGATCCTCATCCTAAAGCATAATTATTTCCTTACAGGGTCCTGAATTATGTCCATTAATTTTCTACCTGTCCCATGTTTCCCAAACTACACTTGGGGCTGTTTTCTAAAAACACTACCTGGTTTTATTCTATGTCACTTGTTTGTTATTCATTTTCCCAGCCAACCTTCCCTTTTATTTCTTTGATTAATATTGAAGATGTGGGGTCAA